CTAAAGTGAAGCGTTTATTGGGTGATTTTAGTTGCTCCCAATATCTGAGCTGCTTGCCTTGCTCCAGTGTGTCATTTTTGGAAAAAGAAGCAATCAGAAAACACAAAAAACAGACAAGTGCGAATGCTCTTGTACATATGCTTCCCATTCTTCATCAAATTTGTAGAGCAAAAGAAATGTTCATTGTAGCTCTATATTAAATTCTTCCAAACTGATGTGGCTTCCACCATGTTGAAAGGAGAGAAAAAGCAAGCGTCACACTGAACTTTCCGCCGTGATGTGGGACAGGCGGCTCCGTGCCGTGAATGTGTTTACCACTACTTTCCATGTGAACTGTCTTCCTCAATGAACCCGGTCAGAGCATGTACATTGGGAATATTCAAAATTCTCCATTCCTATGATATTTTTATAATTAATATTATTTTATTTAAATTTATACTTTTATATATTTAATTTTAAAATAGAACACTTAACAAAATATTTTTGCTCTAATACTTAGAGCCTCACCCCTAAAGTACTTTAGGCAGTAGATCCACTATTAAGTTAGGCAAAACCATATACTAAGCCCCTAAACTAACTCAAGATTAATTATTGGGCTCTTAGACTTTAATTCATACATATAAGCTCCTAAACTCTACAATTTGAGTAATTTAACCCTTAATTCTTTAACTATTGTAAGAATAAGGGCTAAATTGCTATAAGTATAAGGGCCAAATTGCTTAGATAGTGGAGTTTAGGAGTTTGTATACATCAATTAAAGACTTAATTTGACTATGTTACCTACAATATTTTTTACAATCTACAAAATTTTTTATAACTTATGTGTTTGATAAATTATCCATCTTTACTTTTTCAAAAAGAAATACAAAAATCATCTTATCCAAAATTAATAAAATTTCTAAATAATTTACTAAAATTTCCAAATCTTTTTTTTCGTACATTATATATTAAATTATTAATTGATTTAATTTTAAATAATAATGTGTCCAATTGAGTAATTTTACAATAAATAATTTTTTTAAAATCTAATTACCAAATGCTAAAATATTTTTCATGAGAATATAACTTAATATTTCTAACGGTTACAATTATAAAATAGCATCAGATTACATTGTTAAATTAAAGAAAAGTTTGAGGATTCAATAGTAAATCTGAAGTTAATTAAGAGATTTAATATATTGTTTTATCTCGAAGTTAGGTAGCGAAAATAGATATGTAGTAAAATGATCAAATCTTTCGATAAAATTAGGTAATAGGAAGAAACCTATTCTTAACAAAATAATATAATAACAATAATAATATAAATAAATAAAAAAACTCTGAAAATATTTGAGTTAGATAAATTTATTGTTGTTTGACATGTAGAGCCTGTTTGGTGTGATTTGTGAGAGTTTTTGCTTTTTGAGTAATGTTATGAGTGATAAGTTTAAATTTTTATTAGAGGGAAAATAGAGTTTTAGCTTTTAAAAAGGTGAAAAAGTAAGTAAAAAAAGAGTTTATGAAAAATTTGAATTTAAAACTTTTGAACTTTTACTATTTAAGGGTTTTTTGAGGTTAAAAAAATATTTAAAAATATAAGATTTTAAGAGTAAAATTTAAATTCATAAAACATGAATAATGTTCAAAAGCTGAAACTCCCACAATCTGCACCAAACATGCTCCTAACCTCATGTGATCTCATAATTCCATTAACTGCTGGATGATGTGGATATTTTAAAAACTTGTCTCTTGAGGGGGCCATTTGGTCAAATACCTAGCGGCAAACTCCTATCTTCCTTTTATTACAGTATTTCTGAACAAGAGTAACATTAATGATTTCTATGACTGGCCTGAAGAGTTTGATGAGTACTTTGACAATTTGGATGATGAGGATTTTCCTGATCCCGATGTTAACGATACTCACCTTGTTTATGATTGTGACAATATTGCTGATCATCACGAGAGGGATTATAGTCACGATTTTGATGAGAGTCACGAGAGCGATCGTGACCTTAGGGAGCTGGAGCTTCTAGACAGTGGTGCGAGGCTGAGGCATTTTCTAAACTTTGAGGTTCTTGGATTTTTTTACCACTAATTAATCACTAAGACACAAAAGATTTGGAAATAAAGGTGTTAATGTTATCATTTTTTAGTCGCAAATCATACATCAATTGATGAATTTATGACTAGGGGTATTTATATCCAATCCAATCTTATTGGTCTTATTTAAACTGATCCAATCCAATCAAAAATCGATCTAAATCGATATAAAATTGGATTGATTTGAACTCTAAAATTTTAAAACCAATATAATTGGTTTGGTTCGTAATTTTACCTTTAAATCGACCAAACTACCTGATTACAAAATAAAATTCGATTAGAAGATAATTTAATTAAATAATATAACATATTTTTTGTGGTATTAAAAATTTTTTTTTATTTTACAAGATTATAACTTCATTAACTTAATTAAAAAAATAAAAATAGAAAATCTTCATATTTCCTAAGTTATTTCTCCATTTTAATCATGCATTCTAACCTTAATTTTAAATTTATAATTTACCTATAACTCTATCATTTCATAACTGGTTTGCGCATTTATTTTTAGTACCCTAAATTTTTAATGTATTCTTAAAATAATCTTATGATTCTCTTAACTAAATTTTAAATAAGTATCATTTCAAAAGCCTTAAAATTATATAATAAAAGTACTCTTAATATTCTATTATTTTTGGATATTTGGTTTAGAAATTTTAAATTTTGATTATGAATGCTTCTAATCAATTTTAGTAATATTCATGTTAAATGCTATTCACTTTTAACAGGATTTAAAAAATGAGATTAAATTATTAGTCCATTAAAAAAAACTAATTTAAATCTTCAAAAATTATTTACGTTGTGTTAGAAATTTGAAATTATTTTTTATTATTTTTGGTGCCTCTAGTGATGTAACCAAGAAGAATTTTCAGAACTTTTCAATTTTTACAAATGTAAAGGAGTATAAAAATTTATTTATAATTTTTACCCATTATTATGTTTTTATGTTTTTACTGATTTGGATGTTAATGTATTTTATAGTTATACTTTCTATTTAATGTTAAAATATTTTTACATTATCTTATATATTTAATAATGTTAAAAACCGATCAATCCGATTGAATCACACTGATTCGAGTTAAATTAGATTGATTTGATTATCACATAATAATAAATTGGATTGGTTTAAAAATTTTATTAATCAATTAAATTAAATTGATTTAAAAAATAGTAAAATTCAAATCAAACCACACCATAAACACTCCTATTTATGATAAAAAAAAAATTGCTAAAATTCAAAGTTATCGGTTGTGAGTGTTGGGTTCTTGTCAACGTAGCTGATTATTTAGTTTCATAATCTTTGACTAAATCTTGCATAAATGTTAATTTTTTTTTTTTTATTTTTTTTATAAAAGAATGAGAGAGAACAATCACAAGAGAAAGAGAATGCCTAGCTGTAGGGGTAGTAAACTGAAAGACAGCTGTAACCAGCAATCTTCCATTGCTAGAAACGTTGAAATTTTGTCCACTCATTGGCGCAGGGGCGCCGATAGAAGGTGAAATAGATGGTGACGGGGATGGAGATATTGCGATGGATGGGACTGCAGGATCAAATGAAAATGGTGATGCTGCGTTAGAACTTTGATTCCCTGCACCAAAATCAATTATTAAACAAATATAGCTTTGACTTGGCACAGTAAGAAGGCTAAGGCAGATATCCTTAAATCTGAAACAACTCTTGCCGAAACCCCTCATACACCACTTATAATTGCACTTTTTTCCAATGTAGGATTGGGATATCAGAAGAAGAGCACTTACCTGGACAAGGAGCTTGAGAAGAATTAGCTAAACTGCAACGTAAAGATGATGGAAATTAGTTGTATTACCAAATGCTGGAATTCTGCTAGCTAGATTTCTACTCTTTGTAGATTAAGCTATGGAAATGATGAAGGGAAAATTGTGTTGTTACCTTCTGAAAATCTTGCCACCAAGATGGCCACGGTAAACACAAGTAGTGATGTTACACCCTGTAGCCGTCTGATCCACATGTGAGTCGCCAATAAAAAGCTCAGATAACAGAGAGCATGTGGTTTCAATACCAGAGGGCCCGCATCGCAAACTGATCAATCATCACAGGGTAATTAATGCCTAATAGGCTAATATGCTTGCAAAAAAAGAAAAAAAGAAAAGAAAAAATTCTAGCTTACTTGAGGTCATGCTGTCCACAAGAACATTTGATGCAGTTGTTGGCAGTAAGAGCATATGATCCATTGGGAACAATTAGGCTCTCATTGTACCAGTTGAGGTTTGCAGATGAACATGCTGTAAATCTAAGAAGAATCACGTTAATGATGCTATTGTACAGCTCAAGTCCATAAATGTTAGTCTCTTGGACCGACATAATCAGATATGCAAGGATAAGAACGTTGGTTTCCCAGTTTCACCATTATGTGAAGAACTTTAATGGAGAAATCTACATTTATTCATGCTCTGACTAGCTCGAACTTTTAATGATAGCTTAGACTTTTAGAATGACTGACCTGCAATTGCGATGGAGAGTATGTCTCCAGGATCAACTCCCGGCTGGCTGAGCCCATTCACTGCCACCAAGTTCATAGTACTTACTCCAAATTGAGCCCCAATGCTGGCCAAACTATCCCCCCTTTGCACTACATATGACGAGTACACTGAAGCAATCCCATTGTTAACATTGTCAAAGCATGTGCATGGCAATGGAATCGCAAGTTTCTCCCCACTCATTAACGGATTCTGGGTATTAATACCATTGGTACTCCTTATTTGTTCTGCACTTTCCAAACTGGTTTCAGGAATTGATCATGGGCGTGATATTGAGTGCCAAAGATCAACTCCCAAGCATATTTGTATGTAGATTTAACCGAAAATTTGCCATTGTTGCTCCCAAGCCATATTAATCTATCAAAGGAGCAGCTTCTACTAAGGGGGATGTGTAGAATGCTCTCTGCATCTTCTGCACAGAACTGTTGTCGAACATCTCCTTACTTCCAGCAGCCTTTATTTACATCTATTAAAGCACTGACCCTATCATCCATGTCCTGGTAAACAAGAGCAGACTGTGGCCGAGGGATGGCCCCAGAAGGCAACTAGTTGTCTCTCCAAAGTCTGACGTCCTGTCCAGTACCTATTCTCCATGTTGATCCCAATTTAAGAATACCAAGGCCAGCAACAACCCCTTGCCAGACCATAGAAGCGTTAGCTCCTGCAGAAGCTCCCAAGAAATCTCCATTGGGAAAGTATTTAACTCTGAGGACTTGATAGCATAAGGTGGTCCTATCCTGCATCATACGCCAGCTTTACCTTGCCAACATAGCTAAATTGAAAGCTCTAAAAGCCCGGAAGCTTAATCCTCCAAGTCGCTTTGGTCTACAAATGAGATCCCATCTTATGCTGAGCAATATTATTCTTAATTTCCAAATCCAAGGAAGGGTCCCAGCAGAACTTCCCAAACCTAGCATTACTTATGTTAATAATTAATGTTCTCAAAATGTGTTGGGTAAACATCGTTAGAGAA